TATTCCTGATTTAAACCATCTGCAGGCTCGACTTATAGACAAGATTCGTGAAATTAACAATACCCCGAGCATCTTAGAAAATGTCTTTAATTCTTTGAGGAACAGGTGTGAAAAGTGCTTGGAACAAGGAGGGGGACACTTTCAGCAGCTGCTTTAATTTATTGTTATAACAAGGAGGGGGACACTTTCCGCAGCTCCTTTAATTGTTTGTTATTGTTATCACGATTATTCTTTAAAATAAAGTTATATAGTCATTAACGTTATTGAAACTGACAGCTGCTATACAGCTAGTGTTGCCAGATTTATTTCATGACTGACCCGGAGAAATTCATGGCTAAAAAAAAGGTCTTTAGAAAATCTGGGAATGAAATTGTTTATTAGACAAATCGATGTCTAAAAAAAAAGGAATATGACTGGAGGAAATGGATTTCGAGGGTGGGTAGGGCGTTAACCCGGAGCTCGAAGATGTACCATCAAAACCCGGAAATCTGGCAAGCCTATATACAGCTCGTTGAGAAATGAGGTTAAGTTGGTCGCTATAAGCTACTCCCTACGTCCAATGTGTCAGAGCCAACTTCGACCACGTTTTTATTTGAACGCTCGTTATATTTTTTTTTCACAAGTACATAAGTAACATTTTTTCAAAATCAAAAAATGATTATTAAAAAATCTAAAAATTTGAAATTATTTTTATTTTAAAATTAAAATTACCTCCTCGAAATTCTAGCTGGCCATCGAAACATCTTCTTTCTCTGTCTCTTTTTTCTTTTCGGCGTGTAAATTTTTATGTGGTTTTATTCATGTTTATAACCGACAATCTTCAAAGTTGTTTTTGTAACAAATGCACTTTTAAATTATTTTTACTAATTTTAAACATATATTGTATGGCTTCATCACAATTTTTGCATAAATAAATTGTTCAAACAGTTATAACAGAAGTTGCAAATATGCAAATGGGAGGGTACTGTTACTTCAAAACATGTATTATATCACTGTTTTAAATGTAAGTATTTCTATAGGAATTCTCATGAATATTGAGTTAAAATTAATTGTTTATTACTATATTTATTTAAAAATAATACTTTCTTGCACGTCACTAAAAAAGTTATCAATCCGAAACTTGCAGTATAAATTCTGTACTGTAGTACATCACCAAAAACCGGGCCAAAATTTTCCTGGCTTCCGGTATTGCTATTTTTGTACGGCATTAGGACGAGGTTAATTTTTTTTGTATAACCTATACACTTTAGAAATGCCGTACAAAAATGTTTTGCCGAAAACCACCTCCCTTGGTGGACAGGTTTAGCTTACCTGTGTACTCACCTGTATCAACAAGAATTGACGGCATAGTTTCTAAAGTTATTGTTATATGTGGTAGTATCTATTGATTTATAAGTAATTCATGCTGGGTCAAAAGACCCCTTGAAAATTTTTGATGGGATTGTAGTCTACAATGCCATAACATTTCACATGATAAATTCGTTGCTCCAGGGTTGGCATTATTAATAAAAATTATTAGGTCAATAAAAATAAATATGTTGACTTTAACATCGATAAGGAAATATCCATGGTAATTATATGGTATGTAAGATAGCTAAAAATTGCGGCGTCTTTTTATTTGCAAAATGTGATTATTTTTTTTTCTATTTAAAAATTTCTTGGGTTCTCGAACAACTTTGTTAAATACAGTTTTTAACAAAAACAAATTAAAAGTACTTTGCTTAGGGAAAATTTCACATTTTGAAATATTTTGGAGGCCCTTTGTTTTATTACATATTTGATTACTGCCCATGGTTTCCCAAGGTATGCAAAACTTTTTATCAAAAATAACTTTTTCTTGAAAATTCAACAAAAAAAAATGTTTACGAGAGTGCGGTATCCCATCCAGTGACACACTGTATAGATACTGTATTTGTTATGAATCTAAACCATGGACGCTGTTCAGAGTTGGTGTTTCTTTTTAAGATATAGGAGCCCGACGACAAGGAAACCCTGTCCCCCGTGTTGTCCGGAGGCTAATCGGAAACAGGAAACTGCCAAGAAGTCGTCTTGTCGCTGTTGTTCGTCATTGGAAGACAGTTTTCTGCCCTGCGTCTGCAAGATGCCCAAGTACTGTCCGTGTGGTAACCTGAACCCGTGCAATTGTAAAATGTGTCAAGTCAGAGCCATCTGTACGCCCATTTGTAAGAGGTGTGGATGCAAGGTGAGAGGATANTTGTGACTAAACCCAGTATTTAAAAATTTCTTGGGTTCTCGAACAACTTTGTTAAATACAGTTTTTAACAAAAACAAATTAAAAGTACTTTGCTTAGGGAAAATTTCACATTTTGAAATATTTTGGAGGCCCTTTGTTTTATTACATATTTGATTACTGCCCATGGTTTCCCAAGGTATGCAAAACTTTTTATCAAAAATAACTTTTTCTTGAAAATTCAACAAAAAAAAAAGTTTACGAGAGTGCGGTATCCCATCCAGTGACACACCGTATAGATACTGTATTTGTTATGAATCTAAACCATGGACGCTGTTCAGAGTTGGTGTTTCTTTTTAAGATATAGGAGCCCGACGACAAGGAAACCCTGTCCCCCGTGTTGTCCGGAGGCTAATCGGAAACAGGAAACTGCCAAGAAGTCGTCTTGTCGCTGTTGTTCGTCACTGGAAGACAGTTTTCTGCCCTGCGTCTGCAAGATGCCCAAGTACTGTCCGTGTGGTAACCTGAACCCGTGCAATTGTAAAATGTGTCAAGTCAGAGCCATCTGTACACCCATTTGTAAGAGGTGTGGATGCAAGGTGAGAGGATATAATACAGGAGTGACCTCATTTATTATTTTTTTATTAATATTTTGCTATAATTTTTTCGATTAAGGAACGTTTTCATAAGGGTTTTTTGGGTGGCTGAAAAGTTGCAATATATCATAGATCATTTGAAAACCAATAATTGTTTACAATTCAACATATGCATACCATTAAAACATCTCAAGATTTCAATAATTTTTTTTTGTTTATTTTATTATAAGGGATGGTTTTTAAGGGTTGCAACTTTGTAATGAGTCGTAAGCTTTCTAAGGAAAAACAAAAGAAATGCACCAAAAGATTATTTTAAACTGTTAAAAACTTTTTTCTATTTTTTTGGCCATGAAAGGTTAGTTTTTAAGGATTTTTAAGGGTTGAAAAGCAATTAAATTTCATAAATTATATTAAAAAAACATGAAAAGAACTTTATCCAATATATTTGAACATGAATTGAATCTTTAAAATACGGAAATCTGCGATTTTCGCATTTTTTTCGTACAAGGGTAGTTATCACCCCCAAATAGAAAAAAGCACACATCTAGACAATATAACTTTTGAAGTGGGGGGTCAGATTAGCTTGTATGCAAATGTTCAGGGAAAATAACTCTAACGTGCCACCTATGAATTAACGTACGTCGAGGTATTAACAGTTGTGATTGTGCATCATGTCCAGTTGTATTTCATAGATATGCATTAACATATTAATTTAAAACTTGGTTTTCTGTAGAAGCTTTTAGTTTAATTAAATGTATTTCTTTCATTGAAAATCTTGATATAATTAACGACTTTAATCTAGGAGTGCCGTCCTACTTCAAACAATACTATTTATTTTATTGGGAACTTAAAACACGAATTCCAATAGAACTCGGCTAATACATGGTATTAGGAGATTCATTTGTTGTCAAAATAGGATTGGCAGATGAACGAAATATGTATGTATAAAATCTACGCCTTTCAGGTTTATGCTGCTGAAAAAGTTTCAGTTAGCAAGGGAGCCTTCCACACCGGCTGTTTTTCTTGCTTTTGTTGCCGCAAACCGTTAGATGTCTGTAACTTTTACGAGAGTTGCGGGGAAATATATTGTAAACGTAAGTAGAAACATAATAATTAAAAAATATATTTGTAATATTTTTCTGTTGTATCGCTATTTGAAAAAATTACCAGGCTAACCTTAGGTACGTATCAAATTTTATAAAATGAGGATAAAAAAGTAACAGTTATTCCGACTCCTTGTGCAATAATTACAGTTACCTAAGCCTAAGTTTAAAATATACAGGGTGATTCAGAACTTATCCAAAATAAGTTTTTGGATGTACAGAGAACTCTTATAAATACAATTTTGTAAAAAAAATCAAAAGGGCAATTCGAAAATGATGCACGGCACTAGAAACTGGTCCACTGTAAAACCTGACCTTACGCAAGGCAAAGTATGCAGTAGGCGGTAAAGTGTAATAAAAAATGAACGGACAAAAAATTGAAAGAATTTCTTTTCCAAGGAATTTTATAACACCTATTTTATATCAGCAATTTCAACTGCTTTTGCCGCTATTGTTATTATTAATTAATTTGTGGTTGTAATTAACAAATTAATTTGACATACTACATACCTGATGTTACAACAATTGTTCAAAATTTTTTCCACCGAACACATTTGGGTCAATCTTCCCCAGTTTCTACGAACTAACACAAATGTTGTCTTGCTTCACCTCAACACAAATGCTTCACCATAACACAAATATTGTCGTGCTTCAACATAAATTAAAACGATATCAATCAACTCCGAGTTGCTATATACGTAAGTCATTTTTGACACTTGAAAAACTAATGTAAATACTATCGCAACAACGATAATACTAAAATCGGATTTCCCAGCGATGTAAAGGTTGAAAATACTACAACTTCAATAATTTTTTTCTCGGGAACTATATTTGAAAAAAAAATGTTTACTATATTGACTCCATTCATCTATTCCCGAATGTTTTTGGATAAGTTGTGAATCACCCTGTATAAGATAGTGCTAGGGGTTATTTTTAAAATATTGCACAAAATCCCTAACTATCTTCCCCTTGAAGGGGTATATTTTCCTTATTATCAATTTTCGGGGAAAATTTTTTATGAAAAGGTCATTGTCTTTGATGTACTTGAAAGTATCGGGAGACAATTTAGGATCACGATTATGATTTTTGTAAATAATTTCTTATTCTTATATTAATCTATAATTTATTTTTCAGAATGTTATAATAACTTATACGGGAACCAATTGTATGGATATGGATCGTCACAATTCTTTTAATAATTTTATTGTCTCATATTTTTAAGAAATAAAGTCTCCTTATATTAGCCCCACCCTTATTTTTATTACAATCACATCGTATAGTTTTTAAAAGTTACCCGAGAAAACATTTTGTGTAAACTTTGATGTCTGAATGACCTTGCGACAGAAAAATATGTTTTACAATTTGTTTTACATTTGACAACGCGATTATTTTTTTTTACTGAATTGTGTAATAAGGACGACTATTTCCAATGATTTTCCTGGAAAGAGTATATACAGGGTGTTAGAAATTTGACTGCCATAATTTTAACAGACGATAGAATATATTAAAATAAACAAAAAAAACCTTATATGACATGGGTCCTAAACTCAACCATTTCCGACAAAAAAATTATCAAAATCTCCAACTTAATGTACAAAAGTTTCGATTAATTAAAGAATATAAACATAACTGCGTATACAGAATACCATAAAATACAATGTTTATCACTTTTTTGAACTTCGTTATGCTTAATTCTAAAAAATAATTGTAATAAATTTAAAATTCGATAAAATTCATATCGAGCAATGTGACAACGGCGCGGCGGATAACACGAGATATTAATCTGTTCAGCAATACGCAATTCAGTTGGTATCTGGAATTGGACCGTGTCTGAGTGTTTCTCGCGTACTACTATTTCCTTTTTTTGAGGTGTTTTGCAGGAAATGGCGAATATTGGATTCGAAGGTGTCGTGCGTGCATAGAAAATGGTGGTGGGCATTTTGAGCATATGTTGTAGTTTGTTTTAGTGCGTTTAAAAATTACTGAATTTTGTTTTTTGGCAAGTACCTAAATTATTTTTAATACGTATGATTATTTGGATGACGTAAAACTTTGGGTACTTCAACTACATATTTTTCAAATTCATAATTTGATTCAAACTTAAGCTCCTATTTTAAGAAGTTCATAATTACTAAAATTCGAGCTAAAATTTAAACTATCTTCGTACTAAAAAATTGATACATTTTATTGAATTTATTTAAAAACTAGAAAACAATTGTCTTGAAATTTATTAAATGTGTATCAGCAGTGTAGCGCCAGGTTAAGCGCTGTTGTCACGTTGTGATGAAACTCCCCAATATTAATACTCGCTGTATTTTGTAAACTGTTAATCTTACGCCCCTGTAATATACAACTTTTTTGTTCATTTACGATTACTCTATCTCATGCTGAGGTAATGGCAGTCACACTTCTTACACCCTGTATATACAATTATAAATTTCTTAACTCCGTAGATCAAATATGATTATCACTGGAGGGATCTCAGGAACTATTAGATGTACTGAAAAGTTTATATGGGAAAAGTTGAGTTTAATGCTTAGCAACTGAAAAAAACATTATTTCTTCCTCTGAATTTTTTTAAAAAAAATGAAAATTTAGTAATAAAAATTAAATTAACTATAACTTCGTTTTGTAGTCCGACAGAAACATTCTTGAACTATTCTGTTGTAATTTTTTGTGTTATTTTCACTGGCATATAGTTAGTTTTCTCTGTTAACTACAATATAAGAACCACACTGGATTTTACTTGAAAAGAAATAATTGTTATTGTAATATTAAAAAAATTTCGCGATATTCGAAGAATTTAAAGAAAAGTTCAAGAATTTTTTCATTTGAATTACAAATAAGGAAGTTACATGTTTTTAAAACGAGATATTCAACTTTTTCTGAGTAAAATCCAAAAGAATAGGTAAGTATATTATTTTCTTAGTGGTATTCTGATTAAATTCTTACTTAGATTTTGGCGAGAGTAGTCCCAAAGATGGCGTTTCGACTTTTAGGTGATTATTTTCGATCGACACTGACAACTAAATTTAAAAAAATTTAAAATATCTCTTCAAGTTTGTTTTTCGTTAAAAAATTGCAACTGCTTGGACAAAGCGTCGTATATCATACGCGAGAGAAAAATGTGCTTATAAGTACGTGAGAATTTGCCATTACAGAATGTACTATTAAATCAGACAAAGCGTTGGAAAAGAGCTAAAATTTTTTGCCAATTTTAACATCTTTACCGGCTAAACAAAATATCTAGGTGTAAAAGAAACTTGCGTTAAGATACAGTATTCTGCCCTACATGCTCCTGCTCTGTATCGATGGATTTACAAATCACCCTGTACAACAAATTCCAGGAATTTCTCGACCAACTGATTGGGTCAAACATTGGAGGGTTTAAAATAAGGTTCAAAATAAATCGCATCACTTTAATTCCAAGAATCTGGTTGTCGAAGCACATTTACGTGTAATATTCCGTGGGATTAAAACGGCGATATAAAAAGGACTAGGGGTCGCAAATATAAAAAACACAATCGCCCATGTGTTGCGCGTTAGGTATAGTTAACTTTTTATGTGATTTGCTAAAAGGTGGTAAAATATGTACATAATAATCCCTTTATTTCTATCGCGCGGGGACATATTTCATTCAATTTCGGGGCGCGCGACGCAAAATTGGCGTAATACATCATCCTGGGAACGCCCCCGTTACTGGATTACACAAAAAGGGAAAATATACTGTAATTCTATAGAGTTAAATCCGTTATGATGTGATATCTTGCCCTTTTTTTATAGGCCCGCAATTTGACTGTAGTTTTCAGTCCCGTAATTTTTGTCGTAATGATTATTTTGTTAATGTCGAGTATATAGGGTGTATTAAACTTTAAAAGCTGGCAGTTTCTGCGAACATTAGTGCAAAAGGTTCTTTTTGTAAAACTGTCATTAAATATTACATTTTTAATACATTGATAAGTGAACTAAAAATTGACGTTTATAACGTTAACATGTAAAAACACTTTTAATACTAGTGTAAAAAACTTTTAACACTTGTGCTAAAAATAAAATGCCTTATACGGGAACCAATTGTATGGATATGGATCGTCACAATTCTTTTAATAATTTTATTGTCTCATATTTTTAAGAAATAAAGTCTCCTTATATTAGCCCCACCCTTATTTTTATTACAATCACATCGTATAGTTTTTAAAAGTTACCCCTGAAAACATTTTGTGTAAACTTTGATGTCTGAATGACCTTGCGACAGAAAAATATGTTTTACAATTTGTTTTACATTTGACAACGCGATTATTTTTTTTTACTGAATTGTGTAATAAGGACGACTATTTCCAATGATTTTCCTGGAAAGAGTATATACAGGGTGTTAGAAATTTGACTGCCATAATTTTAACAGACGATAGAATATATTAAAATAAACAAAAAAAACCTTATATGACATGGGTCCTAAACTCAACCATTTCCGACAAAAAAATTATCAAAATCTCCAACTTAATGTACAAAAGTTTCGATTAATTAAAGAATATAAACATAACTGCGTATACAGAATACCATAAAATACAATGTTTATCACTTTTTTGAACTTCGTTATGCTTAATTCTAAAAAATAATTGTAATAAATTTAAAATTCGATAAAATTCATATCGAGCAATGTGACAACGGCGCGGCGGATAACACGAGATACTAAGCTGTTCAGCAATACGCAGTTCAGTTGGTATCTGGAATTGGACCGTGTCTGAGTGTTTTTTGCGTACCACTATTTCCTTTTTTTTTTAGGTGTTTTGCAGCGAATGGAGAATATTAGATTTGAAGGTGTCGTGCGTGCATAGAAAATGGTGGTGGACATTTTGAGCATATGTTGTATTTGTTTTAGTGCGTTTAAAAATTACTGAATTTTGTTTTTTTGGCAAGTACCTAAATTATTTTTAATACGTATGATTATTTGGATGACGTAAATCTTTGGGTACTTTAACTACATATTTTTCAAATTCATAATTTGATTCAAACTTAAGCTCCTATTTTAAGAGGTTCATAATTACTAAAATTCGAGCTAAAATTTAACACTATCTTCGTACTAAAAAATTGATACGTTTTATTGAATTTATTTAAAAACTGGAAAACAATTGTCTTGAAATTTATTAAATGTGTTAAATCAGCTGTGTAGCGTCAGGTTAAGCGCTGCTGTCACGTTGTGATGAAACTCCCCAATATTAATACTCGCTGTATTTTGAAAACTGTTAATCTTACGCCCCTGTAATATACAACTTTTTTGTTCATTTACGATTACTCTATCTCATGCTGAGGTAATGGCAGTCACACTTCTTACACCCTGTATATACAATTATAAATTTCTTAACTCCGTAGATCAAATATGATTATCACTGGAGGGATCTCAGGAACTATTAGATGTACTGAAAAGTTTATATGGGAAAAGTTGAGTTTAATGCTTAGCAACTGAAAAAAACATTATTTCTTCCTCTGAATTTTTTTAAAAAAAATGAAAATTTAGTAATAAAAATTAAATTAACTATAACTTCGTTTTGTAGTCCGACAGAAACATTCTTGAACTATTCTGTTGTAATTTTTTGTGTTATTTTCACTGGCATATAGTTAGTTTTCTCTGTTAGCTAGAATATAAGAACCACACTGGATTTTACTTGAAAAGAAATAATTGTTATTGTAATATTAAAAAAATTTCGCGATATTCGAAGAATTTAAAGAAAAGTTCAGGAATGTTTTCATTTGAATTACAAATAAGGAAGTTACATGTTTTTAAAACGAGATATTCAACTTTTTCTGAGTAAAATCCAAAAGAATAGGTAAGTATATTATTTTCTTAGTGGTATTCTGATTAAATTCTTACTTAGATTTTGGCGAGAGTAGTCCCAAAGATGGCGTTTCGACTTTTAGGTGATTATTTTCGATCGACACTGACAACTAAATTTTAAAAAATTTAAAATATCTCTTCAAGTTTGTTTTTCATTAAAAAATTGCAACTGCTTGGACAAAGCGTCGTATATCATACGCGAGAGAAAAATGCGCTTATAAGTACGTGAGAATTTGCCATTACAGAATGTACTATTAAATCAGACAAAGCGTTGGAAAAGAGCTAAAATTTTTTGCCAATTTTAACATCTTTACCGGCTAAACAAAATATCTAGGTGTAAAAGAAACTTGCGTTAAGATACAGTAT